GGACTTCAGGTCCAAGGCCTTCTTCGTGGAGGAAACAGTTCTTGACAAGACCTTCTGGGCTGACATCAGGAAGTTGACAGCCGTCATGAAGGGGCCCTATGATGTGTTGTGCGAGGTGGACGAAGATGTCCACTACTTGTCGCGCATCTACGATATGGCGTGTCGACTGCCTGGCTTCGTCCGATCAGTCCCCCTTACTGCAGAGCAGCGAGACGACATGCTCAGGCACGTCGGGAACAGGACAGACATGCTGCTCATCCCCATCCACGTTGTTGCTCGACTGTTGGATCCTAAGTTGAGGGATAGTACTGTTTTCAGTAATATCGACCTTATGGCACAATTTGAGAGTGTGGTTGAGAGACTCATTGGAAAGAAGGGTAGCACAGGATTCGATGAGTGCATGGACCAACTCTACCACCTCCAGTTCGGGAGAGGAGTCCTCGACACCCCACAGACAAAGAAACAGACTGCGCAGGACAATGCGGTTTTGTGGTGGAAGGCGCACGGGGCGGGACATCCGGAGATCCGCGAGCTGGCGATCAAGGTGCTTTCCATCTAGACGACTTCCTCTCCTGCTAAGAGGAGTTGGAGCACTTGGGCTCTTGTGCAGACGAAGTGCAGGAACAAGTCGCACCACCAGTGCACCAACAAATTGGTGTCCTCGCACTAGAGCTTGAGGCTCAAGAGCAGGGGGGATGAGGGGCCCACGATAGCAAGAGGGTGGTTGGGGCTCTCAACTGACTGGGAGGACGAGGATTTGGGGCGTGACTTGGCGAATGTCATCGAGGCCGTTGATGACTACGAGCCTGCTGTTCGGGATGTCGGTTCTGCGGTGGGCAGCACCACTGTTTGTCGTGATCCAACTGGGCCATCGACATCGAGGTCCATGCAGAGATTACGGAATGCGGAGGAGGTTGAGGAGGAGGAGGACAACGAGGAGGATGACGCCGAGGATGAGAAGGAGGAGGAGTAGGTGGAGGATGACATTCCTGGCAAGGACTATGTGGACGAGACGTCGGACTCGGACCGGTCTTGGACGAGGAGAGACGACGCCCCGTATGTTCTAGGTGCACGATCTGGATTGCAATCCCAGACAGCCGCGTGGAGAGGAGCATCAGGTGGAGGAGCAGCAGCCGGACGAGCAGCAAGGGAGGGAGAAACAGGTTGAGGAGGAGCAGGGGGAGGAGAAGGGGGAGGAGGAGCAGAGGGAGCAGCAAGTGGAGGAGGAGGGGGAGGAGGTGAAGCATGTGGAGGAGCACAAGGAGGGCATGCAGCAGGGGGAGGAGTGGCAGGTGGAGGAGCACGAGAAGGAGCATTCGCTGGAGGAGCATCTGGTGAAGGAGCATCTAGTGGAGGAGCATCTGATGGCGAAGCATCACGTGGGGGAGCAGCAAGTGGGGGAGCAGCAGGTGGAGAAGCGTGGGGAGGGCGTGCAGCATCTAAGCGAGGTGCGAGTATTTTATGGTTCCAGTCGGCAGTCGCCTCTAGTTGGGCAGCACGGAGCACATCCCGACCATGTATGGGATCCCCTCGCCTATCGAGCTCAGCGAGGCAGAGGGAGGTCCATTTCGGAACATGCGAGAGGAGGCGCTGCACAGGCTGCACGAGGCACAGGGCGAGGGATGTCCGCTTCAGGACGTGGGAGAGGTCGGCCACGCAAGGAGAAACAACCTGTTGCGGCACCAGCAACGGAAGAGTCAGATGACGACTTCAGGGAGAGTGCACCGCTGCACATATCAAAGAAGAGGAGGACATAGGCTGCTGCAAAGAGAGACACACACACACACAGAGAGAGAGAGAGAGAGAGAGAGAGAGAGAGAGAGAGAGAGAGAGGACTTGTTGTCTTTCACTTTTTGGACCACCGTGCTTGCCGCTTGTCTTTAACTGACGCCCTGAAAAGCTGCTTTGAAGTGCTTCCGCATCCTATTTTGTTTTTGTGCTTCTCTCTCCTGCACTCCTCCTCCTGTGTGTGTGTGTCAGTGTGTGCGTGTGTGTGTCTGTGTGTGTGAGTGCAGCAAGTGTATGTGTGTGTGTGTGTGTGTGTCAGTGTGTGTGTGTGTGTGTGTCAAACAGTCTGTCACAGTCTGTCACAGTCTATGTGACAGACTGTCTGTCACAATCTGGTGGGCAGCCCACAGACTGTGACAGAGTCTGTCACAATCATCCCAGTCTAAGTGCAGCAAGTGTATGTGTGTTTGTGTGTGAGTGCAGCAAGTGTATGTGCATGTGTGT